GCAGATAAGTCCTTAAGGTCATGCTAAAAACGTAATCTAACTGGAAAGTCAACTTCTACTCTGGAGAAACTTTCCTGAAGTCATCACTCATGCACAGTGCTCAGTGTCATCAAGATTTGAATCCACAGAGCGCAATAGCAAGCTAAATAAATACTCCAAGTCTTCTTTATTCTATTCCATTGCAAAAGATCATCACACACTCACAGAATAGCTGATGTTGGAAATCACTCAGTCCAACCCCTTGTCTTCAGCCAGGGTCATCTTAGATCACATAACACAGGATCATACCCAGATGGCCTTAGAATATCTCCAGAGAAGGAAACTCCTCAACTTCTCTGTCACTCTCACAGTAATAAAGTTTCTTCATCATTTTCAGGTGGAACTTCCTGTGTTTTAGTTTAGGTCTGCTGTCTTTTGTTGCTGGGCACCACTGAAGAGTGTGGTCCCATACTCTTGACACTTAAGATATTTGAATGCATTGGGAAGATTGTCTCTCAGTGTTTTTGTCTCCAGCTCTCTCAGCCTTCCCTCTTAACAGAGATGTTCCAGCCCCCTAATCATCTTCATAGCCCTCCACTGGCATATATTTTGTGCTGTGGAGCCCAAAACAGGACACAGCCCTGCAGATGTGGCCTCACCAGGGCTGGGAAGAGAAGGAGAATCACCTCCCTCAACCCTCAACCTCAAAGTGCTGACAACACTTTTCCTAATGCACACCACAATAGCACTGGCCTTCATGGTGCTGACACCTACAATAAAACTCTTCTGCATCAACAAGGTGATGGTATCAGGACCATAAAGCAAGCTGGAACGTAAACGTTCCTCTATAATAATAGCAGTAAGGTCAGGAACATGTTTTCAGTTCTTTCTTTACATACGTTAGTGCAATAGCGTCAGAGACATGCACAAACATCTGGAGGAAACATGAGATACCAATGTGGAGTCAGCTAAGTCCTTTACGACACAACCGTCCTGAAGACGGAATCACACCTGTTCATAATTCTTCAGATCTTTTCTGTGTCCTGAAGATTTCAGACTTCTTTAAACTTTGACATCAATTTATTTATTTTTTTTTAAAGAAGTACACTCCTATAATAAATTATTTATAACAACAGTTGTCTAAAAATAAAATGTACCAGTAAACAATTTCTACTGTCTGTTACTTACGGCACAGTGATGTTTCCATATAGTAGGAGTATAAACTTCATTGCGGGTCTCTGCATGGAACCTCCTAAATCAAGAAAGTTTTCTCTTTATGAGCTTACGGTTGTTTCTAGATGTTCTTCAAAAGTACCCCTTTCCTTTCTTAGGCTTGTCAGGTATTCTCTTAAGCTCAACACTGTCAGAACATCCATTTGGTCTCTGTTCTGTAATCCTGTACTTCTTTTTGCATGATACAATGGTACTCTGTACCATCATAACTCTTTTTCTTGCATTAATAAGAGAAGAGGGAAAAGAAAAAGCACTGTTTAACACACAGCTCACTAAGCAATCTTGGGAGTTCAAACATGCTGTGAACAATACAGCACATCTTCATTTTAAGTAGAGTTGTCCTAGGTTTCCTAAGTTAAGGGGAATCGCAATTTTCCATGTTCCTTCAAAAAATATTGAGATAGAGACTGGAGAGACTAGAAGAATTGCAGAATCTGTTGAATGTTTTCTTTTTTAGAAAGTTGAGAAATTTAACAGAGAGAAGAGATATCAGATTTTAAGTTTTTCTCTATGAGCTATAGCATGATTTTTAATTCCATTCCAGTACAGCATAGCTGTGATTGAAACAGGGCTAATGACTAGTCTAACATACCATAAAATGAACTACAACTATCATTTGGTTACAAATGATCATTTTTGTCCTCTTTTTAGCCAGCAGGAAAACTGAAGTCTAAGGAGGTAAACTGACCCTGATTAAGGTAAAAGAGTCAAGAAGAATATCGCAGCGCCTCTGGTCAGCCAGACTCTGCTTTCTGATTTCTACATAGTACTGAAGAAGCAAATGGCCACTGTCACAGATCTTTCAACTGCTATTTAAACACACATGGTCAATCAAACCGTACTGGGAAAAGCAGCAAAATTCAGAAGTTTCTAATCTATCATTTCTTTCCGCATGTTTAAAAGACACCAAGGCTGTAGTTCTCTAGTTCCTGCTGAAGACAGCATGTCTGTCTCAAATATAACGAAGACAAACCGACCTGTTGTTCTGTCTTTGCTTAAAGCTGCCGTTTGAAGTTTTGACTATATTCCGACTATATGATCCTGTTTAAGTTCCTACCAGTAGCAGCTAACACAGCAGCCAAATTGCTGTACTTTCTTGATTTGACACAAGCCAAATATTACCCTAACCAAAGCACTTCAATTGGTGTTCATATTCAGAGAGTCACAGCTAAGCTACTACCGAGACTCCCTTCATACAACATACTTTATATTTATTCTGACACCTGCAGCCACCAAGGAGACTGGATAATAGCAGACCATAATACTCTGTGAACCATGGTTATAATTAGGCGCCACGGCCATTGTAATCCTATGGACGTCATCATGTGTTACCAGCATCTGTTGACAGATCTCATACCAGGCATATCACTGAAATGGCAAGTCTGGAGAGGGCAGCCCACAATAGAAACAATGGTATTTATTTCTGGTTTGTTCCAAGACTGTCTAATAGAAAATATATGCTGCCAACTGCCAGGGCTTCACTGAGATCATTTTTCTATATTATATTACCAGTTTGAACAAAGATTTGTGCCCATGTATCTGCAATCTTTTCCTAATAAATAAGGAAAGTGAGAATGCACTTTCTGCAACCGTCTTAGTGCTATTTAGAATACAGAAGCCCTGAAAGTTTCAGACCCTTTATGTGAAATTACTTACTTTCTTGTCATAATAAATTCAGACTCTTTTCCAAGGCAAGGAATGAGGATCACCCTCTTAACTTTTATTTTAATGTGATATCATTTAAATATTAAAAACAAATACTGGGAATAGACCACACGAAGTAGCAAAGGTACTACCTCTCTGCATTGTGGAAGTAAGCTTTCATCTGTGAATGTAGAAACCAGGTTTTCTGCTGAAGCATCATTACTTTGAAGGAATGGGAACAAAAAATTTGCTGTGATGCCTCATATAAACTGTTCTCTGTTCTTCTGGAATAGTCCAGAGATTTACTGCAAATAAGAAAGCCTACAGAACCCAAATCCTTTTTATTACTTATTTGTATTCTAGGAAAATTGCAGTAGAGTGATGATTGCCTGGTAACCAGCCCATTATTTCTTTATTCTGAAAACACAGGATTCCATGAAATGCCAGGCAATTGAATCTTTATCAGATGTAACCACAGCCTGTTACAGCTGAGCAGTTTCTAATCATTAACATTGAAATCACTGTCATTCTCACTGCAAAACATAAAAGAATATTTCGCCATATAAAGAGCATCAAACTAAAATGAGCACCACTGTTGTATAGAATTGGTTAGGAGTTGCAGCTGCTGAACTTCTCACACTATCCTTGTACAACAGGATCTGTCAATGCAGGAAAGCGAGCAAAATCATGTAAAACTCACAGTAAGCAGAAAGCTACAAGTGAAAACAAGAGGAAAATATCAGCTCTACCAATTGCTATGGAAAAGCAAACACATCAGCCCTAGCAGTTCTAATGGCTCTTAGTTTGACAGTCATATAGAAGCCATGACTATAACAGCAGGTCAGACACTGACTTCAGATAAAGTGCTTGCAACTCTTTTTTCTTGATTTGACACAGGCTAAAAATTATCCTAATCAAACTTCCTGGAGTTCTCCACCTGTAGTAAAAACCATATACAGCCCTACAGTTTAATGTTCCTTTCTCCTCTCTCCTTTTTTCCTTCCAGTAACCAGTAGATAACCTTGTAATCCTAGATCTGTCAGCTGCAATTTCAACATCACTTTCAACATTAGGAAGTAACAAATCCTTTGCAATATTTCTCATCCCTCCCTTCTTTAGGCTGCTTAAAACTCAGTGTTCTGAAATCAGATATTTCTTCTCTCATATTTTAAAGGCATCATAGGAGCAGCAACTACTAAAGTACTGAACTGCTAACAAGGCTGTTGGTAGGGCTGCAACTACTAAGAAGTCACAGAATCATTACAGTTGGAAAAGGTCACAAGGATCATCCAGTCCAAACACCAACCCATCCCCACCATGCCCCCTGACTATGTTCTTCAGTGCCACATTCAAACGGTTCTTTAATGAACAAGAGCCTACAACCTATGCCTATGTTCAAAAATTGAGTATAGGCAGTACTTGGTGACACAATTGCTTTTCTAAACCTAGAAGGTGAGGAATGTTTCCTCTACAATACCATATTCCAAGGAGTTCACAGACTTGTTTTTTCACCCAGTCACAGAATGGCACATGGGAATTTAACTCATTCAATAGTTTTCCAAACCTATGCTAAATATATTTCAAGGCAACATCATCTTTCTAAAATTATTCAGTCCATCTTGAGAGTAAATTCTACTAAAACTCAGAAATACTGCATGTAAATTTTGATGGGTTTTCGGCACAGTTTTGAACCACTTCATGCAACGCCCAGGTTATAACTGTGATGTACTGTTTTAGAGAAGCCATCAGGCACATACAACATTTCAGAAACTACTTTGTGAAAGGAAGACCTATGAAGTGAAGTTAAAAAAAAAAAAAAAAAAACAAACAAACAAACAACAAAACAAAACACTGGAATCACTATCAACAACACACAAATGTAGAGCTACTGACAGAACATTCCTAGTAAAATACAAAAACACACTCCTGACTCTCATTAATTACTACCATCTTACATAGATGAATACAAAAAGCGAGTGCTCTTCCCTTAAAATACTGCATAACATGTACCTTGTATCTACATCCTCTTCTAAAATAAGAACACTTTACTGCATAGCCCCAGCAATTCCAGATGCAGCACGGCTACAAGGCCAGAATTCCACAAAGAAGCACATATACAGACACACATTACTTTATTTCCAGACCTTCCTTTGCTGTTTCTCCCATGCTGGGTCCAGGAGCAGGTCCCTGTCCCATTCTTCCTCTTGGGTCATGTACTCATCTTCTTCATAGTTGTAGGTGTACTGCATGTTTGTTTCTATCTGGTTCATGCTGTTCATTCTACCCAGGGATCAGCTTCAACCGCTTTGCCTATTAACAGTTAAATATGTATATATATTTAAGCTCAGTATGGTTGCTGATGGGTTGAAGATAGCAACGTGTATATTTTTTTTTCTTTCCCAAGGAGACAGGATGTTAATATCGATGAGCCGCCGAGAGCGGAGGCTTTAACTGTCAGGTAGTGGCGGATGGCTGGTGATCCTCCTTCCCCCTCTCGCTCTCCCTCTGTCTCACCCGCTCTCTCTGCTGCTGCTGCAGGTCCTTGCGGCCGACCCTCCGGAGAAGCCCAGCGCCGCTCATTGCGGCCGCTTATTATCCCCGCCGGGCCGTCACGTGGCTGCCGGCGGCTGCCCAGCGCAGCTCCGAGAGGCGGCCGCAGGAGCCCGCGCTTGCACCGCCCCCCCTCCCCGGGGAAGACGCCCAGAGGCGCCCAGCAGCGCCGCTGGTCCGCGCTGGGGCCGGGGAACCCACCGCTGTGCTGCTGCTGTCCGGAGCACGGACTGTCACGGCAAGAGGGGGAGGCTGACCAGTAGGATTCGCCTCCCGTAAGCAGTCTGACAAAAACACACTGCCTAATCATCTGCTTTTCTAATTATTATTATTATTTTTAAATCTACTGTCACGTACTGCTGCTCAAGACTCATGCATGACTTGCCGATGTCATACAACATTATTTATCATCAACCTGAAGTCTGTGGCCAGCCGCTTTTCAGATTAAAGCTCAGCAGAGCCAGCGCAGAAAGGGACACCCAGAAGATAAAACACAGCAGAGATTGGGTGTAGAATTAGAGCACAAGTATGCAAGCACAATTTAGAAGAGCAATGCACACCTTTTCATCTAGGAAAGACGCTCCTTGCATCCCAGATGTAGACACCAAAAAGAGCACAAAAACATCTGTGGAACCATTAACTTCAAAAATTTGTGACAGCAACCAACTATCTGTGTTTTCCACGGGGTAAAATCTGAGAAGACAGCACTGAGATCAAACATACTGGCAAGCTTATTTCCTCTTCCTCTCCTCCCCCTTCTTCCCCTGGTGACAACTGAATGTTTCCTTGGGTACTGGCAAGTTCACTACATTGCATCCTGCACCATCAGCCAAGGTCATCCTTTCCAGAAGTGTCTGTGCTGGATACAGTTTGAATCTTACTTACAAAGAAAAAAAAGCTCACCAAAGCTGAGCTTTTAGAAGCCCTGAAAGACAAAGCCAGGTACAAGAGGAGAAGTATGTTCAGTAAAGGCAACCAGAGATGTCTAAACCAATATGAATAAGTAACAGCTAGACAGCATATGTCTCGCACTTTGTTTTACTAGGTAAAGCTCTGCTTCCTGCCAAGTTGCCTTCTATCCTGTAAGCCCATGCAATATAGATGATCATACATACACATATACACAGCTAACAACTACCCATCAGCTCAAAAAACTTATCAGATGCAGCACTAAGGTCGCAAATTTGAATTCAGAAGAAGACTGCAACACAACTGTTTCATGACATCAACTCAAACTCAACTTCCTAAGTTTGGTGTACTTACCATGCAATAAGCAGTTTAAAAATAAAATTCAGGGTCAGAAATGCATGCTTTTCACCTGCTCAATATAAATATTCTCAGATTTGCTATAGTATTTCCCTCTAAAATGAAGCAAATGTTGATGAATGCTGAGTGCAGGCTTTTGTTTACGTGCAGATGATTTACCTCTTAGGAAACTCTCAGCCCATGTCTAATAGTGATTATAAGCAGAATGTTCACATATATATACACATTCTGCCTATGCTGATGTAATTTGTGCAGCTTATGGATGAGATCTGTGCTTTGTGAGGCATGCTCCTGTTGCCTAAAGGACTGTTAAAGCCTCTGAAGTCAGCAAAACCATTCCTTCTTATTCACTGTGCACAGCACAGGAGAAACTTCTGGAGGAAAAGTAGGAATTAAAAAAAAAAAAAAAAAAAAGTAGTAATGGAAGAATACATACTATAATGCTCCAGCCCAGAGCTGTCTCCTGTGCTGACAAGACCTGTGACCTTTTAATGCGTCAGTGCATTAGAGGTGAGCCTTTCCTTGGCACTCTTTTGTCTGAGAATCAAAGTAGATGATATCAAATGGTTCTGCACCACCTCCCTGTGCAGTACAGGTGAGCCCTGCAGTCACTGATGGCTTCGTACAAAGCGGAACCACAGTTCGTCTTCTGGTCCTCATCATTTAACCTGGGCTGGAGTGCCTGTGTCGTGAAATACAAATGGAGATATGATGACAATGAGTATCCCATCATCTGTGGATTAGCACTAGACTTCTGGATATCAAAGGGAAATCTATCCTTAATTCCCAGAATTCTGAAAGAGGGATACATGTATATTAATAACTGAATTTTTCTCAGAATACTGCTAGCCACTGCTGCAAAGGTATGACCTATTTTCTTGTTTACTCTGTACTTAGGTAACTGCATCACTTTAATAACAAAACCAACAAAAGATCATCATCATATGAAGCAACTGACACCTAGAACCACAAAATCTCTCAGGTAGTCTGAGAGTACCAAAAGTTCAAGATCATACATTTTATGTAAGGGAGAAATACTCAAAATCCACATTGGGCAGGTTATGTTAGTATGTTCTCAATGAAAAAAATACATATTTCAGAGTTTTTGTTGTAGAAAACCATCGAACCATAGAATGGCTTGGGTCGGAAGGGAACTTCAAAGATTATCTAGCTCCAAGCCCTTGCTATGGACAGGGTTGCATAATTAATTGTTTTCTCCTTTCTGAAAGTTTCTAGTATTAAATGGGAAGGTTGGTGACCCTGCCTTTGGCAGGAGGGGTTGGAGATTCATGATCCTTTATGTTCCTTCCAACCCGGGCCATTCTGTGATGCTGTGTGAAAACGTCAAAAGAAGGAGCTTCAGCTTTAACGATACGCATTTTTAGACAGACGAGCTTGAAACAGGCAGCTAAATGCAATATTCTGATTTTAAAAGAACAACCTACTTCAATGGAATCTGGCTTGTCTTAGGTTCTCTAAATAACTACTTACTACCCTTTAATCAGACAACATGAGTAGGCAGAGAAGATATTTATAGACAGAGCATTAGGAGGAGTATCTGGTATTTTGTTTACTACTTTAATTTAATTTCATAAATGAACTGTGCAGATGGTAATGAGAAGCATATGAATGAAGGTCCACTGTGGAAAGAGAGCCAAAATGGAATTATGAGGCCAAATTCAAAGTGGAAAGGGAGTTGCCCATTCCAGATCACCTAGAGAAAGGAAAGCTGAGCCCAGCAGAGTAGTACACATTAAACAGACATGGACAGGCAGTAATGCTCTCAGTCAGCTTATCCCCACATACGGGTAGGTTAAGACTACCTCCACTAAAGCTGGCAGAGTTGCACAGCTAGAAACTGCATATCTCCAAGGAAAAAGAAAACAGAAATAAGCAAGAAAAAAGGAACACAGTGACCCACATAAGCATCTTAAACTGCCATGGCAAGACATTCTGAGATCCAGATAGATTTGAGGTACAAATAACACAGACATGGGAAGATAAAAAGGAATATTCGTGTTTTTCAAAGAGATTAATATAAATAAGATGGCTCTAGGTGATCAGCAATGGAGACAGCAGTGCTGAATTGTCAACTATTCTTACTTTTTGTTTCACATACAGACGTAGCTCACGTCAACATCAATTTTCATAAGGTCTTACCCCAGAGAACACCAGGGCCATAAGGTATGATTTGTGCTTTGCATGTATGAGGAGCACAAAGCCAGAGCTTTCCAAACAGGAGCAACGGGTCTGTGGGAACTCACTCAGTATTTCTTATCACTGCTTCAACTTAGCAAAGCATAAGTCTCCTGGCACAAGTTGCATTAAGCTCCTTGAGAATCCAAGGGCTTTTCTAACTAATCAAAGCATGGCTTTCACCTCCTGTGTCGGCCTTTCACACCTTTTTTAATTAAAAAGAAATCGTTTCACAGTTTATTTTTAACTTCCATTTGCTCCATCAAATCTGTCAGAAAATTCTTTCAAGAAATCGCTTTCCTGTATCCCCAGTGTTCATCAGACTTTCAATCCCTTTGGCCTATTTCTTATTCTTCCCTCTCACAAACTCTCAGAAGATAAAACCTCAACCTTTAAATAAAAACTTCAAAAATGCTGAAAATTTCAACAATGTTTCTCCACATCATTCTTCTATTTGAACTGAGCGAGCTTTAGAAACAAGCCAGATTTCTCTGCCTAAATAATCATCTGCGGAACCATCAGCTCATGTGAAAGTGATCACTATTACTTGCCAGTTTTAATGTTTCTCTGCAAAAAACACGATAACCCATACCTGCCAAAATTATCTCACACGTGCCACAGGATGATAAAAGACCTTATGAGTGCTCTATAAATCAGAAGTAGGTATGTAATTATCTATCTAAAGACACAGCCTATTTCTCTGTTAAAGAAGAAAAAAAAAAAAAAACACAAACCCAATAGGATGACTTTCCAAAAGAGGCAGCAATGAAAAATTAAAAAATAAAATCAGAGTGCTCTCCTACATAATCTGCTAATAGAAGCTTAAATGGATTGTAAAGCACTGTTGTTTTCAAAGCACGTCATATCTATTTTTTAAGATGTCCTTTTACATATAGCAAGTGAAAAGAACATCTGCAGAAGGAGGAAAGAGCAAAGAGAAGCATGTATGTGGGAACCGAACTTCTGATTCTGCCTGAGCTCAGTCAGAGCAGCACTGTGGACACAGAATGTAGCCCTGCCACACCTAGCACCAAAAGAGACAGGCTTTCACTCTGAAAAGTCGTTCCCCTACTCATGCATGGTAATATTAATTATATAGAAGCTAAGTGTGCACTATATATTTCTTTTCTAACTATTGGAAATACAAATGGAGAAAGAACTGAAAAAGTGCACTGCTGACTTCAAAAGATCTCAAAGTGCTTCGCCATCTATACATAGGAACAACTTACTCTGCCCCTGAAATGCAGCCATGGATAAAGTGTAGCAAGAAACATTTATAGGAAGGACAGATACTACTAAAGCACAAGGGCTTCAGGAGTATGGAGAAAATGCTGACTGTACTGGGGCCACAGACTGCTGCCAAGTCTTTGTGTGGAAGGAAAGTCACGAGGCTGACACACTGTGTGATCTACCCCAGTTTAAAATGTTCTACATAACGTTGAGCAAATCGCTTCCAGTAATTTTTTCCCCAAAAGCTAAGACTTGGCCCTTCAGCCTCATCCCACCAACTGAAAGAGAAACAAGCTTGTTGTGCTGCACTCTCCCATCTCTAAAACAGTCAGGG